TATACTACAATGCAATTCTCAAAGTAATAATAATATTATTATTTTTAAGGAATATCATACAACCAAGTTATTTTTTATTATTATTAATTTATACAGTTCTGTTGTGCAGCATCATGTCTGATCAAATAAAATAAAAAAATATAAAAATGCAATGTTTTGTTTTGTTGTAAATTGATTTTCATTTGATTACATTTTAAAAGATTGATTCAATTGTTAAAGTTTTATTAATTCATTTCACTAGACACCAATTTTTTATGATAATCTGTACTGAATCATAAAACACGGAATGCATAAGAAATCAAATGGAAAACACAGAATTTAGGGAAAAATAAAATGCATTTTTGCATAAAATGCAAGATATCCGGGGGGTGCCGTTGGGGGGGCGGGCCGCCCCCCTAAAATAATGGCAGGGGAAACACTGTATATATATATATTGGAGTATATCAAACTAGTAGCCCTTATTTTATCCCTTCAGGGAGCCCTCACTCACAAAAAGGTTGGAGACCCCTGTTGTAGTGTTATAAGGTGTGCATATATCCAATGTTTTCTGAGAGAAGTGCAGTGCTTCAGTAGATCTTAACCGATACTTGTTTAAGCACAGGACAACCAAGACTATTATACAGTAGATTTTGCCAGGAAGTAGGTGAAAGTTGCTTTTACAGAGATTTTGGTTTTGTATAATTTAATATAGTGTAAGTGCAATTTTATACATGCAAATTTTAACACCTTAAGTCTGATGTCCATGTCTGCCACATAGAATGGGTTCAGATCCGTGCCAGCAGGGCTGCTGAAGGATGAAGCACCATTGTTGATTGCAGATGGCATCCTGTGTGGCATATCTGTGGGCCGCCCCTTTGCTCCTCTACCTCTCTAGAGGTAGCTTGCACTTTTTTCTCTCTCTGTTGCTCCCTTTCTCCTTACCCTATTTATTTCACTCTGCTTGACCTCCATTCTTTCTCCTCCTTGACTCAACTCAACAAGCCCTGCCTTACATATTCGTGTCTGAAACTCCTCAAAGGAGTCATATTTAAAATCTGTTGCTGTTATTTTTAGAGGGGGCATTAAAAAAGCAATGAACATAATTTATTCAATTCTGATGAACAACTTGCGACTTGGACATTAATCCAAATAAATGTAATATTTAATTTAATTATAATAGAATAAAATAGAGGGAGTCAAAATAAGAATTTGTAATTAATCATATACTTACATTAAAAATGCAGTGTACAGTAGCGGTATTCCAGACTATGATTGTTATTTTATAAGCAGCTGTGAAATATCTCCCACATATTTGAATGCAGTGAGTATTACTGATGTTTGAGGAGGAAGCTGGAGATGTTGGGAGCGTGTGATTTGTCATTCTGTAACGCTCACATGCTCTCATGACTCCAGCATGACTGTGGTGCTCCTGGGTCTGGCACATGTCACTGGATTTCCTGAGGCATCTTCAACCCAACATGAGGCCCATGAGCTCCAGTGCCCAGCTGTCAGCACTATCAAAATGAGCTGACATCCTAATATTATTTTAGTAATATTCTTAATAAAACACTACACTGTAAAAAAAAAAATGGAACGAGCTATCTACTTTTATGGTAATTATGGTAACACGTAATATTTTTATATTATTTTTTTAATGGAATCTACCTGAATAAATCATGTAAAATAT